CACATGTAGTTTTGAAGATGCATTACCGTAGGCGAATAAGCGATATGTTAAGTTGAATTGAGCGAAAATCCTATGATAATTTCTCTATGTAAATTAAAATTTGGCGATACCTTCCTCTGTTAAGAACACTTTGGTAAAGAACTTTTTTTTTTTCTTTCGTTCAATTAAGAATAAGAGAAGACGTTAAGCTAACACGATAAAATAACGATAGACATGCATACATATAGGGTGTCCCAGAAAAAGTGTCACAGCCGAAAGGAAGTGATTCTGTAAGTGTTTCTGAACAACAATTTCCTTTGGCGAAATGCAAAATGAGGCATGGTTTTTGAATTATTAACGAAGAACAGTGACCAATGAGAGCACGTATAGAACTCGCGCTAAGCCATGGGCGAGGGTCACGACTCGAGCCGACACTCTATTGGCTAAGCGCGGCCTGCACGTGCTCTCATTGGTCAGTGTCTTTCGTTAATAATTCAAAAAGCATGACTCACTTTGCATTTTGCCAAAGGAAATTGTTGTTCAGAAACACCTCCAGAATCACCCCTTTTCGGTTCTAACACTTTTTCTCAGACACACTTTATATTTCGTAAGTATAATAAATTCTTATGATCGAGAAGTTTTACCATGCTGCACGATCGTTCAAAGGAAAACTTCGTTTGCCTGTTTCTATTGCTATGTATAACATTTGATTGTCTTTACATTATATTAGTCGCATATTCATAAGCTAATCTTGTCTATTATATTTATACTAATACTGACGATGAATAAGTTAGATTTCGAAACGAATGTATCAGTATTACTATTTTTCCGTAGAAGATAAAGTGTTGAAGACGGTAATCACTGTGAATGGAAGAAGTATCGAGATGGAGAATTCATAGAAATTGATGTGAGGTGAATTTCCCAGGAGTAATTCGATAGACAAGAAATATATAATCGTATGAATTAATGGTAAACTATAGTCGAGAGCAATAGATATAAAAATGAATTTTACCAAATTAAACGTTTTTCGTATTAATAACAGCTAGTCGTTTGAATTAGCTTTCCGAAGATATGTTTTGATATTATACTATACATATTTGTGAAAGACAAAATATTCAATCTAATAC